GGGAGCTGACCCGACTGTTCTCAGCAAGCTTCTTCACGATACGTGGCAGATTGCTTCCTCGTCAAGCTTGGCCTTCGAGCTCAACGAGCCTATCCCTTTGGGAGAGGTTTCGTGCCACAACCCGGTAGAAGAAGCTATTCAGCTGGTTGACTGGGACGTTCCTGTGGTGCCGGTTCATCTGAGACAAATTGACAATGATCCAATTTTCCGGCGCGATCGGACCTATCTGATGATTGGTCTCACTGGTGAGGTTGGTCAGTCTCTCTGCCACTGGATGGCTCGTAAGGGGGCCGGTTTTATTGTCCTGGCGAGTCGTAACCCCAAGGTTACCCCGGCATTTCTTCAAAAGGCCGAAGATCTGGGTGCAACTGTTCGGTCGCTTTCATTGTATGAAAACCTCCCTCCCATATGGTATTAAGGTTTACACTAATCTTGGCTTGACGTAGGGATATTACCAGTCGAAACTCTCTTCAACGCTGCCTCCGGGAAATCAGGCGCAGCATGCCCCCAATTGCGGGCGTGGCTAACGGTGCCATGATTATGGAGGACGTGCTATTTGACGATTTAGAATTCGAAAGCATGGAAAGGTCAATGAAGCCGAAGGTTCTTGGGAGCAAGCTGCTGGACGAGGCATTTTATGACACTCCCCTAGATTTTTTCATCATGTTCTCGTCTGTTGCAGGTGTTGTGGGCAACACAGGACAAGGCACCTACGCAGCAGCTAACATGTACATGGCCGGTCTAGTCTTGAAGAGGCGTAAGCGTGGGGTTGTTGGCTCTGCCATTGCCTACAGTCCCTTGATGGGCTTGGGATACATCAATCGCACCGACGAAACAATGGGCGATAAATTTCGGTCGATGGGTATTTCCCTTCTTTCAGAGACAGACTTCCATTATGCCTTTGCTGAGGCTATCAAAGAGGGTCAAGCAAAGTGCCATGACCGCGCAGAACTGATAACGGGCTGTTCCCCGATGGTTTTGGCTGATGTTGTTCGTGGCCGTATCCGCAGTGATATTCGTTTCAGTCACCTCAATCTTGAGCGGACTACAGGTAAAGCAGGCTCAGGCTCAGGTGCCAATTCATCTGTGAAAGCTCAGTTACAGCAAGCCAGTTCTCTGGAGGAAGTCCAGGACATAATTCTTGGTAAGGATCCTCTTCGTTAGGTGCACTGACAAAGGAGCTGACTGATATTCCTTTTATTTAGGTTCATTCACTGCAAGGCTGAAAAGCCTGCTTCGAATGTCCACCGAGCAATCCCTGGATGTCAACAGCAGCCTGGTCGATCAAGGCATTGATTCATTGGTTGCTATTGACATTCGTGAATGGTTTGGCCGTGAGTTGGAGGTTGATATGCCGGTTATCAGGATCCTTGGAGGTTCTTCTATTGCCGTTCTGATCGAGGATAGTCTTCAGTACATCCCAAAGACCGTGCTTGACCTCAATAGCCTGTCTGGCGAGGGTCAAAATGAGCCTGTGGAGCAAATGTCACCTGCTGCTTCCGCAACTGAGCCGCAGAAAAAGCCAGCTGCTACTCTGGACAGTCTCGATGCCGAGCCATCTACCTCTTTCTCAGACCACAAGGACTCCGGCTCTTCCAGCTCAGACAGTGAGAGTGTCGATACACCTTCTAATTATGGAACTAGTGACACTGAGCCCGATGAGGAGAACACATATGAGCCTCTAATTGATATAGATTTGCGCCAGTCCACCATCCAATCAGCAACAGAGAAGATCGCGCCAATGTCCTTCAACCAGGCCCGTTTCTGGTTCATGCAGCATGCCCTGCAAGATCCTTCCGCTCTTAATATGGCCCATTGCTGGCACGTTGAGGGTTCATTAGACCTTCCCAGGCTCAGGAAGGCGGTCACCACGGTTGGCGATCGACATGAGGCGATGCGTACCCGGTTCTTCTGGGGGGGAGAGAACCATAATGTGCCCATGCAAGGAATTCTATCGCGGTGCATTGTCCAGCTTGAGATCAAGGGCATCGCCAACAAGGAGGAGGTATATCGGGAATTGGATGCCATGCGGCACCATACCTATGACCTCAATGACTGGCAGCTTGTGAGAACTCGTCTTCTCACGTTGTCTGACAAAGAGCATTACATGATTATTGGCAACCATCAGATCACCTTCGATGGTAACAGTGCCTCGCTTTTGCTCAATGAGATGAATGAAGCCTATCTGGGACAGAGCCTACCAATGCTTTCCAAGGCGTCTCAGTACTCTTCCTTTGCAGAGAAGCAGCTACAACACTACAGTCAAGGATATTTTCAAGAGCACGTTGACTACTTCAAAAGCATTATCCACGAAGACAATCCGCCGCTCGAACTGTTTTCTTTTGCCACAGCCAAATCTAGGCCAGTGCGGTCCCAATACCGGTAAGTACCGCCTGTCCCAGATATAGATAGTCATTAACGATCACGTCTAGCACTCACCGATCGGACATGCTTCTTTCGCCGAAGCAGACTTCTCTGCTTAACCAAGTCTCTCAGAAGATCCAGTCAAAAACCTTTGACATCTATACCGCCGTGCTGGGCGTTCTTTTGTTCCGCCTATTGCCAAATATCAAGCACGTATTGATTGGCATCGATGCCAACCGTAGCGATCTGAGTTGGGACAAACCCATGGGCTGCGTGCTGAATACGTTGCCGATCCGGCTAGACAGACCAGAGACCAACACCAAGCTTGGCCCTTTTCTCGGCAAAGTGCGAGATGCAATCAATGGCGTTCTAGAGCATTCGTCCGTGCCGTTCGATGTCCTGGTCAACGAGCTCAAGCTGGACCGTTCAGCAAATTGCTCACCCGTGTTCCAAGTGATGATACAGCACCGCATTGAAAGTCAAGACCGGGTTACATGGTGCAATGCTACCCGTAGCCGCGGTAAATCTCTAAAACCTTGCACGGGATTTGATCTTCATTTGGAAATTGTCGAAAATGCTGAGGGTAATTCGGTGGTCAGCTTGGAGATGCAGCAGGGACTATACAGCCAGGAGCACACAGATCTTCTTGTTAAGACCTATGTTAACCTACTAGAGCAGCTGACTACGATCCCAGAGGCACCTTTGGAAACTGCTGAGTTGTGGTCATCCGAGGTTACTTCGATGGCACTAAGAGTTGCTACGGGTATGCAAACACACTTCCTCCTACATGTATCTTCCTTCCGACTAACCGTTTCCCTATAGGCCCTGTGGCACCTATGAGATGGCCGCAGACCGTTGTTCATCGGATTGACCAGATGGTGCAGCTATACGGAAGCAAACCTGCCCTCAAGGATGGCAGTGGCAAGATCTTGACCTACAACGATATGGGCCGCCGCGTTGACTCGATTATCGCGGCTTTGCGCCAGGCTGGGGCTCCAAAATGCTCTGTTATTGCTGCTATGCAAGAGCCCAGTGTTGATTCAATCTGCTCAATGTTGGCTGTTTTCCGTGCTGGCGCAGTATATATGCCACTTAATACACGCCTATCCACCGAGCAAATAAAGTGTACACTGCAATCACATAAGCCAGTGTTGTTACTTGTTGATCAAGCTACGTCCAATACGGCCATGTCACTTCAAGATCTCAAGCCTAAGGTGTTGAATGTCTCTTCAGTGCCCACGCGGAGGCAGATTCAGCGCGCACCGAATCTGGCCGATGGTAATTCGGCCGCAGCTGTTCTTTTCACGGGCGGTTCTGCCTCAGAGCCAAAGGGAGTTTTGGTCAATCATGCAAGCATGATTGCCCAGCTTGAGGCCTCTTCAATGCAGTACAATTTCTCCGATGAGAGACCACTGATTGCTCTCCAACATTCGGACCATTCTATTGGACTGTCGCTCACCCAAGCCTTCGATGCCTTGTGTAACGGAGGAAGCTTGGTTATCCTATCTGCGGACAGACAGGGGGATCCAATCGAAATTGCGAAAACAGTCCGGGAGGAAAACATCAGTTATACATTGGCGACCCCGTCTGAATACCAAAGTTGGCTCAGCATTGCAGCGGGAGAGCTTCTGAAGTGTCCTCACTGGACTCTTGCTGCTATGGCAGGTGGAGAAGTCTCTCACAAGCTATTGCAAAGCTTCCGTTCTCTTGAGAGCGCGTCTCTTCAGCTTCTGAATCTCTATATTTCGCCTGGAATGTGTTTCGGTTCTACCTGGCAGGGTCGGATTGAATACCGCAAGTCTGTCTTAGAGTTGCCCCTCGCCGCAGGATACCCTTCACCCAACCAAGCAATCTATATCGTCGATACCAAGCTGCGGCCTCTTCCGATTGGTGTTCCTGGCGAAGTTATCATAGGGGGTGCTGGCGTCACCAGTGGATATGTCAACCCGGATGCTGCAACAAAGGGGAAGTTTATCGAGTCACCATTTTCACACTTGGATACCAATTTCACTACGAACAAATGGACGAGTGTTTATCGCACTGGAGACTACGGCTACTTGCGGAAGGACGGTTCCCTTGTCCTAGTTGGCCGTTCGAATAGCGACACTCACGTCAATGTTCGCGGCTTCCAAGTTGAGCCAGCAGAGATCGAAAACGCCTTGGTCGAGGCTGCTGGGGGTTTGTTGGCCGATGCCGTGGTCACCTTGAGAGAACATGATGAAGACCAATTTTTGGCTGCTCATGTTGTCTTTACTAGCCAGGTGATTCCGAGCGATTCCGAGGAGTTTCTAGACAATCTCCGGATGCGCCTGCCTGTACCAGAGTATATGGTCCCTTCCGCTATAGTGCCCTTGGCTAAACTGCCATTGAATGCTCACTCGGAGGTGGACCGACTTGCTATCCACCAGCTGCCAATTGACGAATCTAATGTCGTGACTTGGAGTAGCCGAGAAATGACACCGATGGAAGCTAGTCTTGCCGAGATC